CCTTCCAGAGGCCATCAATTGTAACCACAGAGTTGTGGTCTGGAACCTCATCAAGCACTGGCAGTGGGAGAATGTCTATGAAGTTCTGCGAGCAGCTGCAGGGATGGAACTCAGCTTGATCATCCTCAACTGCATCTCTGGCTTCAAGAACTACATCAACTCAAACTTGTGGTCATTTGAAATGAGAGGTCACAAATGACTGTGGAATTTTTGTTGTGGTAAAATCATGTGAGATTTGATAATTTTGATTTATAGGGCAGTTTTGAAGATATGGAACTGCATGTGTGATTTTGACATGCTAGACCACTGCTTGATAAGTGATATTGAGGGACTTGAGATGAAAATGATTTCATAAAAACTTGGAATTTGTGGAGTTAAAAGTGATTTTATCAGTGTGGAATGGAGTGGAATTTTAACTTCAGGAATAGTGCTCCAATTCAGCACAAATGTGAAGAATGAAGTTCAGTGCATGTGTGCAACTGACTGAATATGGTGTGAGGTTGCACATGAACTGGATGTGAGGGCAGCATGTTGGCCACTGATTATGGAATTGATGGAGGGTATGAAAGCAAGGTGCAGTTTGAGGTTGTTCAGAGCACTTACACAAAACAAGCAAAGTTCTGATTTTCCAGATCATGTAGTGTACATGATAAACTAAGTATTGGTAGGTCAAACATGTAGTCATTGTGTATGTGTATGTGATAAAGTAAGTGTCTGGTTTTATAGTTTTTGTTGTTGTGTATGCATAGGTGCAAGTCACCCTGCCATCAGCCATCTGTGATAAACAAAGAAACAGTAGGTCAAATGCATAGTAATCACATATGTGTATGCAATAAAGTAAGCATCCAGTTTTACAGTTTTTGTTGTTGTGTACATGGGTTGGAGTGAGTCTGCACAATGTGCCATATGTGGGGTGCTGTGACAAACCTCAGGTGCTGCATGCAATACACAACACCAACAAATCACTTCCTTCTTTTTCCCCTCCTGAGCAGCTCAGGATCAGGCAGTTCTTCAGTGCAGGTTGGGCTAAGGTGACCAGAGTCTTCATCCAGATCCGGCCAGTCTTTCTGCATGCTAAGAAGCCATGCAGAACACAGTCTCAGAAGACAACATTCACATCCTCGCCTGGGGCCAACTACAAGAAAATCTGCTATATGGGCATTGTGAAGAAGTTCCTCAATGTCAACAGTTGGCCCAAGAGTGCCACCTCAAGGTCCCAAATCCAAAGAACCCAAGCCAATCACTCCTCTCTATCTTCACAATCAATCAGCTTCACATCCTCAAGCACATCTCCACTGAACTGCACAAGCAGATCCAGGCAGGCAACAAGTACAAGATCAGCAAGAAGGGTATGCTCCCCACCAGTATTTCTAATAATTATCCCATTGTGCTGACTGTACTCTCTTCCAGCCTTCACCAAGCTCCTCATTGCCTGCCAGAGACATATCCAGTTCCTGAGCAAGGCAAGAAAGGTGGCCACACACCTCACAGATAGGGACTTTATCCACCTCAAGAACAACATAACTACTGGAGTGGGTATGTTCTCCTTTTCCATAGTTCTTTTAAGGTGTACACATACATGATGAATTGTAGTCAACATATGCTCCATTATTTTAATCACATACACATATGCAATGAATTGCAGTCAATATATGCTAATCTAATTGCTTGATTTCCTCTCTTATAGGATCATCACATCACCTGTGATGAGGAGAAACTTCTTCTGATCCTCAGCAATCCAGACATTGACATCAAAGATGTTATCCCAGAGTTGCAAGAGAGATGCTTTAAAAGGAGACAGAGGAGAAGGAGAAAGCTAAAGAAAAGGAGAAATGTAAAGCAAAGGCTCAAGGGAAGAGGAAATCCACTGACTCAACAGAAGAACCTATTGAACCAGCAAGAACACACAATGAGACCAGATCCAACCAGAAGGACCTCCACAAGTGCATTGAACATCTCCAGGTCACTCACACAAATCCCAAGCTAGTCAACAGAGATGTCTCTGTTGATGCATCTACTCACCACTGGGATCAGCACAGGCTGAACCAGATGATGGGTTACACCAATCTGAATTGACATAGTATGACATGATTCATGACACACAAAGCATTCTTGACTCCACTCCACTTCCTGCTACTCCACTTCATGCCTGCTTCCATCTCAACTTCAGCTACCACATCAATGGACCAACATCATCACAAGTGCTATTGACAGCATCATCATTCACTCCAACCCATCTCACATCATATCCTGGATTTCAGCAGCCTGGACTGTGGCACACCAACTCACCTCATCCAGTACCTCAACTTCTTCTTGACCTTCACCCCACTCTTCAAGGTTCAAGGTCCAAGCAACTTGGGGCACCTCTTCTGAGTATAATATCTCATCTTTGTCTTTGGCGTTATCATCTACGACCACCCCAACAGACACCACCCCTACATCATCCTCGTTCTCGTCATCCTTCATCTCTTTCTTGCCAGCCACAATAAATAATCCCTCACTTCCCGCCAAAAATACTGCGAAGGCCACGAGGGCAGCAGAAAAACCGAAAAAGAAATACGAAATAATTTTTCAGTAGCTCAACGAGGAGACCGACAAGACGCGCGCCTTGGTGGGCTTGACGACGGGCACGCCGTCGGTGGGTGGGATGGTGTCAGGGCCGGAGCCGACGAGGAGGCTCATGGTGAAGTGGGCGACCGCAGGCACGCGGTCCTCGAGCTGGATGGGCACCTGGCAGCGCCACCCCCGGTTGCTATACTCTACCGGCGCCTGCAGCACGGTTGACACCAGCGACGATGATGGGCCATCCTGGCCACCCAGGAACTGGGCCTGGGTGGCCCACTGGCAGGTGTAGTTGAGGCGCGTTGCAACGGCGATGGTCCTCATGGACTTGAGATTGTTGTTGGCTGAGAGAGAGATGATCGCGGCGTACGAGTTGAGGTCATACTCGGGCTGGACGTCCCGCAAGCCTACAGTGTAGGTCCAGACCTCAGACCATTCTCCTTGGGTGTGGTAAGCCTTGTCTCACTGGCGTCCTGGAGGAAGAACAGAAGAAATGGAAAACATGAGGGGAAGAATGGCCAGTTTGGCCATACCAACTTTTCCAATCCCAAACAGTTTCAAGGTTGTGGAGTGTGGTGCAGGAGTGTGGTCCAGTAAGCTTGCAGCAAGAAAACAGGCAATTGCCTGCAGAGGTGAAAGTGAGACATTGAAGGCAAGTTTGGAGTAAAGATTTTGGTGTGTATTGTAAGTTGTCATTTAATAAAAAGATGTTCTTGTTCTCAGTGGCACAGTTGTCAGCCTGCAGGA